ACAAGAATATTCATAAAAGCATCGTTAAGAAAAGTAATAAAACACCTTTTTTTGCAGGGCTTGGGGGGGGGGTGTTCAGTTTGTGAACAGAAGACTTGGAGGTCTCAAGGGTAGTCCAGAGCCCAGGGTCATTGCCAAATATTTAATGCCATCAAGAGGAGGCACTGGGTTTGTGTAGCTCCTGAAGGCCAGACCAGGACTTACAAGAGATGGATTTGGCCTCGTGTTACAAAGCAGATTCTAACAATTAATTCTGTCCAAAATTAGGATGGGTTGTCTGGTGCATTCCCAATCACTGGCAGATGGCCCTCTGTCAAGGGTGTGGAGGAGGACAGAGTTCTTTAGCCATTGGGATAAAATGCTCGTCTTGGTTCCTTCCAAGACAAAGAGCAGTCTTCATTGCATTAAACCATCAGAAGGTACTGTCATAAGCTGGGTGTGATGATGCGTGCCCGTAGTCCCGGCTATAGACTGCGGTGGAGGGATGACTTGAGCCCAGGAGTTTGAGGCTGCAGTGAGCTATAACTGCTCCCATGAATAGCCACGGCACCCAGCCTAGGTGGTGACAGACCAGACCATAGCTCTTGAAAAAAAAAAAAAAAAAAAAAAAAAAAAAGGCCGGGCACAGTGGCTCATTCCTATAATCCCAGTACTTTGGGAGGCCAAGGCAGAAGGATTGCTTGAGCCTAGGAGGTCGAGACCAGCCAGGGCAACATAGTGAGACCACATCTCTACAAGAAATAAAAAAAATTAGCTAGGGGTGGTGGTGCATGTGAGTAGTCCCAGCTACTAGGGAGGCTGAGGTGGGAGGATCACTTGAGCCCAGGAGCCCAGGCTGCAGCAAGCTGCAGCCGCACCACTGCACTCCAGTCTGGGAGACTCTGTCTCAAAAGAAAAAAAGAAAAGGTAGAAGCACCAGTCAAGTTGAAGGAAGCTGGGAGCTCACATCAGGTTCCACTTCCGGACACTGAGTTCCAGGAATGAAATGAGGAAGCTTCCCACTGCCCAGCAGTACTCTTACGGAGAGCCTGCAGGAGGAGACCTCACATCCCTCACCCATACTCCGAACCTTTTAGGAGTAGCTCTGTGTATCAGCACCCTGACAGTAAACTTAAGCGGTGCTTTCAGCTGAATCTGAAGAAAAGAAATAAAAGATGAGTGCTCCTTCTCTCAGATCGTTTCCACTGTCTTTGGGCTTCGGGAAGATGACACATGGGGTCAGTGCCTCCCTGCTCCAGCATCCTTCCTCTTTTACATGAGTCTCATCTCAAACCTTCCGGGACAATAGGCAATCACATCTGTTCAAACTACCTTCACCCAGTGCCACCAAATACAGACTCTCTGGTCCTTTTGGATGCTTATCCTAGTGTTCTCCTTATCATTTATTGAGTCCTTCTTGGCCTCTTTTCCATTCAGTCCTCCCCTCAACCATGCCAGGTGGCCATTGTGAAAAGTATTAACCAGTAACCCTCTACAGAGCCCTTACTAGGAGACACCACGCACTGTGTCACAGAGTCCTCACCATGACACTAGCTCTGGAGCTAAGGGGAGCCTCCCTCCAACCCATCTGTGGCCAGAGTAATCTTGCCATTAGAGCAGGGGTCCCAAACCCCCAGGACACAGGCCGGTAGCAGTCTATAGCCTGTTAGAAACTGGGCCACAGAGCAGGAGGTGAGCATTATCACCTGAGCTCCGCCTCGTGTCAGATCAGCAACAGCATTAGATTCTCCTAGAGTGTGAACTCTATTGTGAACTGCGCATACCAGGGATCTAGGTCGCGCACTCCTTATGAGAATCTAATGCCTGATGACCTGAGGTGGACAAGTTTCATCCTGAAACCAACCTCCCGAGCCCTGGCCCATGGAAGAACTGTCTTCTATGAACCCGGGCCCTGGTGCCAAAAAGGTCAGGGACCACTGCATTACATGACTGTTACCGCATCACTCCCAACAACAGTTCTGGGTGGCTTCCAAGATCTTACATTGGTAGCTCCTCACCCTCAACTCCCAGTGTAACTCCCACCAAGACCCCTCACTCCGGGCTCAAGCCACATGGGCCTTCTACTGCCTCTAACTTAACACAGTGCTTCCAGCCACAGGATTTCTATACATCTGCTTCTCTCTCCCTGAAAGGTTCCTCTGGTTCCATGGCTCCTTTCTATGCATCCTTTGGATTTTAAATAATGTCATGGGCTGAACCCGAGCCTCCAGGACTTCAGAAAGTGACTGTATTTGGCCTTTAACAAGGTAATTACGTTCAAATGAGGCCACCGGAGTGAGCTCTAATCCAGTCTGACTGATGTCCTTACAAGAGCTTAGGACACTGGGCCGGGTGCTGTGGCTCATGCCCGTAATCCCAGCACTTTGGGAGGCTCAGGCGGGTGGATCACCTAAGGTCAGGAGTTCGAGACCAGCCTGGCCAACACGGTGAAACCCTGTCTCTACTAAAAATACAAAAATTAGTCGGGTTTGGTGGTGGACGCCTGTAATTCCAGCTACTTGGGATGCTGAGGCAGGAGAATCACTTAAAACATGGGAGGTGGAGGTTCCAGTGAGCCGAGATAGCACCACTGCACTCTAGCCTGGGCAACAGAGTGAGACCCCATCTCCAAAAAAAAAAAAAAAAAAAGAGATTAGAAGGTGAGCATTATCACCTGAGCTCCACCTCCTGTCAGATCGGCAAAAGCATTAGATTAGATTCTCCTAGGAGCATAAACCCTACCGTGAACTGTGCATACCAGGGATCTAGGTTGTGCACTCCTTATGAGAATCTAATGCCTGATGATCTGAGGTGGACTAGTTTCATCCTGAAACCAACCTCCCTGGCCCGGTCTGTGGAATAACTGAACTCGGTCCCTGGTACTTTTAGTAGAGACAGCGTTTCGCCACATTGGCCAGGGTGGTCTCGAAGGTGATCCACCTGCCTCGGCTTCCCAAAGAATTCAGCACTTTGAGAGGCCAAAGTGGGTGAACCACCTGAGACCAAGAGTTCAAGACCAGCCTGGCCAACAAGGTGAAACCCCATCTCTACTAAAAATACAACAATTAGCTGGGCATGGTGGTGCATGCCTGTAGTCCCAGCTACTCAGGAGGCTGAGGCAGGAGAATCGCTTGAATCTGGGAGGCGGAGGTTGCAGTGAGCAGAGATCATGCCACTGCACTCCAGCCTGGGTCACAGAGCAGACTCCATCTCAAAAACAAAACAATAACAACAACAACAAAAAAACACAGCTAAATGGTAAAGGGGGCCTGGAACCCAAGCCTCTAAGGCTCTGGCTCCTAACCATGCCTTAGCCCTAGGATTCTGCAATGCACCCATTCTCCCCACAGACCGGTACTGAGCGCCTACCTAACATGTGCCATGCATTCTGTCTCAGAATTGGGGATGGAGCAATGATGAAACAAATTCCTGTCTTCATGTGGTGAGGGACATCATATAAGATAAAGAACTCAATTAAACGGGTTATCAGGTGATAAACTAAATGCAATGGAGCAAAAGGGAAGGGAATGGGAATGTGGGAATGCAGGCTTGCCGGAGTCTGATTTGCAATTTCAAACCAGGAGGTTGGTGAAGGCCTTTGTCAGTGAGGAACATTTAAGCCAAGTCTTGGAGGAGGTCAGGGAGGGAGCCCTGGGGATAAATGAGGACACGTTCCATGCAGAGATAAAGGCAAGTTTAGAGTTCCAGAGGTAGAAGCAAGCTTGGCAAAATGGCTAATGTGGCTGCTGTTAAGTGAGCAAGGGAGACAAGAATGGAGAGCTCTAGAATAGAGGCCTGGTGGTGTGGGACAGTTCTAGCCTTGGCAAAGCTTTGGCTTTTACTCTGAGACAGGAGGCCTGGTAGTTTTTGCACAGAGGAGCCACACGATATAACTTTTAACAGAATTACCGAGGTTGTTATGTAAACATAGACTTAACGGAGTAGGGGTGGAAGAAGGGGACCAGTTAGGCAATGACAGTAATCCAGGTGAGAGATGGGGGTTTGCTCTAAGATGGTGTCAGCGGAGACTGGATTCTGGCGGGAAGAAAAAAAAAAAAAAAAAAAAAAAGCCAATAGGATCTGCTGACAGATTTGACATGGGATGAAGAACTCAAAGTTCACAGCCTGAGAAGCCAGAAGGCTTTGTCTGAGATGAGGATGAGTTCTAGGCTGGAGCTATACAGACGGGAGTCATCAGCACACAGATGGTCTTTAAAGCCATGAAATCCGAGGAAATCGTCAAGAGATTAAGTGAAAAGAAAGAGAAGTCCAAGGAACCAGTGCTGGGGGGACTGCTACATTGAGAGGTCAGGAAAAAGAGGAGAGGCTAGCAAAAGAAACAGAGGAGGAGGGGCAGGGATGGAGGGAAAAACAAGTGTGTGCACTCCCAAAAACCAAGTGAAGAAAGTTTTGCGGAGGAGAGGGTGATAAACCGTAGGAAAAATCGCTGACAGAGCAGGTAGGACGAGGACTGGGGAGAGACTGAGTTCGTCTGGAGCGAGTTCAACACTGAGTGGGAGGAGAGCGCTGGACAAAAAATAGACACACTCTTCCAGGCAGTTACGATATTCAAAAAGCGAGGGGATGAGGGTTCTCAGGAAGAGGGAAATCACATGTTTATATGCTAATGGAAAAGATCCCTTCGAGAAGAAATGAAGGTTCAAAAGGTCAGGTTATCCCGACACTAGTCTGGTCCAAACTCTTTCCCACCCTTCAGCTACTGAACTGATCCATTTAAGTCTTCCCAGGCCTCCTGCTTTACATGAAATCCGACTGGGGCAGTTTGCATTTTTACTTTAATGGAGCCGTTCGATGTTTAGTACCTTCGGTCGAGACGCCCCTCAAATTGGTTTTCGGGTTCTGCGTTTCGGCAGGACCTCCCGCGCGCTTTCCAAACGTCATCCTCGCCAGCTGACCGGTTCTCCTCCTATCCCGCCTCGGGGGCGGGACTCGGCGCACCGTCTCCACAGCAACGCCTTAGCCGGACGGTGCTCAGGGTTTCGGGACTGCGCGTGGCGCTCTCAGAGGACGTCACACACCGGCGGCGCTTGCGTGACGTAAGCGCTGCTCCGTCAGAAGGCCCCACAGGTCGGCAGGTATGAAAAGGAGCACGACCTTGCTCACTGCGCATGCACCACCTTGGATGGCCCTGGCTGCTCCCGTGGGTTGGCTCTGAGGTCCGCTCCCTCTGGCTGTTGTGCCTTTAACCTGAACCAGAGAACTCCTCCGCGGTGCTGCAGTTTCCGCCTGGCTTTCTCGAAGCCACCTTGCGGGCAGATATCCGAGAATCACAGTGCATTCTCATCTTGCCCATCTCTTAGCTCTGCTGGCGAGTTCTTCGTTGCATCCCTGTCTGAAAGTGCTTGCCGAACTCCCAGTTTGCTGTTGCCAGCAAGCTTCCCCTAGCGGGTCATCTCCCTTCGAAACCCCTGCTTTCAAATCTCTCTCTCTCTTTTTTTTTTTTTTTTTTTTTCGAGACAGAGTTTCGCTCTTGTTACCCAGGCTGGAGTGCAATGGCGCGATCTCGGCTCACCGCAACCTCCGCCTCCTGCGTTCAGGCGATTCTTCTGCCTCAGCCTCCTGAGTAGCTGGGATTACAGGCACGCGCCACCATGCCCAGCTAATTTTTTGTATTTTTGGTAGAGACGGGGTTTCATCATGTTGACCAGGATGGTCTCGATCTCTTGAGCTCGTGATCCACTCGCCTCGGCCTCCCAAAGTGCTGGGATTACAGGCCTGAGCCACCGCGCCCGGCTCAAATCTTGTGTCTTGGAACGATCAGCAACCATGCTGTTTAGCACTGGTGTTTATAAGGCTAACCAGGCTACAGCTGAAGACCTGAGAATTTCGGCTGTGAACCAAGTACTTGCACTTTTATGTGCTAGGACCCGTGACTTCTGTTGACTGCTTGTGGCTATTTCTGTCTTCTTTCACATATTTAGCCAGGATCCAAACAGTTGGCCTTGCTAAGTACATGGCCTGCAGAAAAATGAAGTATCTGCTGGACGCGGTGGCTCACATCTGCAATCCCAGCACTTTGGGAGGCCGAGTTGGGAGGATCACTTGAGGCCAGCAGTTCAAGGCCAGCCTGGTCAACATGGTGAAACCCCTGCCTCTACTAAAAATACAAAAATTAGCCGGGTGTGGTGGTGCACGCCTGAAATCTTAGCTACTCTGGAGGCTGAGGTGGGGGAATCACTTGAATCCTGGAGGTGGAGGTTGCTCTGAGCTGAGTTAGCACCACCGCACTCTGGCCTGGGTGACAGAGTCTGGCTCAAAAGAAACAAAAACAACGACAACAACAAAGAAAAAGTATCACTGTTCTAAAACTTAGAATTCCTTTACGTATTCATTTGATGACATTGATTAAGCACCCATTCTTTCCTGGATCCAGTGCTGAGCCTGAGGGCTACAGTGAGTATGACACCTGTCTCTGCCATCATAGCACAATTAGGGGATTAATTCAAGAAACATTGAATTCCAACTGTTTGCTAGGTACAGTTCAGATTCTGAATGCACACTGAAAGAACGAAGCGTGATCTAAGATCTAGCATGAGGCCGGGCTTTGGTTTGAATGGAACCTGCCCCGGCCTTTTATGTGCTGTATGCACTGGCGTGACTTCCGCACCTGTGTGCACATCCATTTCATGATTCATAAAAATGGGCATAATAGTGCCTACCTCCTTGAGGGTAGCACGAGAGCCAACCCTCATGCTATGGTCTGGGGAGCCTTTTGTTTCTACTTCCGCATGTTTCTCCCCTTCAGAAAAATGAAAAACCTTGTTTTCTCCTTACGCAGAGGATACCACCACTAGTGGGAAAGCTACCCCCGATCAGCACATGGCCCCAGCAGTCATCCACTGATGCTCCTCAAATTGTTTGAAAGACAGCTTTTTTTTCTGGGTGCGGTGGCTCACGCCTGTAATCAATCCCAGCACTTTGGGAGGCCGAGGCGGGTGGATCATGAAGTCAAGAGACTGAGACCATTCTGGCCAACATGGTGAAGCCTCATCTCTACTAAAAATACAAAAATTAGCTGGGCATGATGACACGAGCCTGTAGTCCCAGCTACTCAGGAGGCTGAGGCAGGAGAATTGCTTGAACCTGGGAGGCCTAGGTTGCAGTGAGCCCAGATGGTGCCACTGCACTCTGTCCTGGGCAACAGAGTGAGACTCAGTCTCAAAAACAAAACAAAACAAACAAAAACAGCTTTTTGGCTGGGCGTGGTGTCTCATGCCTATAATCCCAGTACTTTGGGAGGCCGAAGCGAGCGGGTCACCTGAGGTCAGGAGTTTGAGACCAGTCTGGCCAACATGGTGAAACCCGTCTCTATTAAAAATACAAAAAAATTATCTGAGCATGGTGGTGGGCACCTGTAATCCCAACTACTCGGGAGGCTGAGGCAGGAGAATCGCTTGAACCTGGGAGGCTGAGGTTGCAGTGAGCTAAGATTACGCCATTGCACTCCAGCCTGGGTGGCAGAGCAAGACTCTGTCTCAAAAAACAAAACAAAACAAAACAAAAACCCAAAATAGCTTTTGTCCAGTGGCTGCTTTTTGTGAGTCTGTATGCTGAGGCCAAGTTACATGTAAGCAGAGCCTGCCCACCTCACCTTCCAACAGTGCCTCTAAACTATCACCATCTGAAAATAAAAGAAATCCCTTTCTTCAAATGCGTGGTGACCTGAAGCTGGCCAAGGGCCGGGGACTGGCAGGCGGCCTGGGAGGTGGGGTTGGACCCCAGGTTACTGTCTGAGGAGGGACGACACGCTGTAAGGGCTGGGGAGCCAGTGTCTGGCTTCCCTGTCACCGCAAGGCCTGTGGTTTCTAGCCCTGTCTGCTCCGAGTCCCACTAAGCAGCAGCAGAAGAGAAAACAGACGTGCACACAGCGGACGCGCACATGCACACCGGCCCCCCAGACGTGCGCAGCCCTCAGAGGAAGTGGAGCACCAGATGTTCTGGGTTTCCTGTTCGACGCTTCCACAGCTGGTCGAGTCTGTGGTTGTGGTTTGTCTGTCTCGGGCTCATGTGAGAGACAAAAGCTGGGCTGACGGGAAGCCTTTTCTCCCGGCCCCCACTCCCCAGCTCTGACTGATCAGGAACCCTGGCAGGTCAGAAATTTCCTGAAACACCCAGAGCTGGGTTCTCCCAAGAAGAGGCTGAACCCCTGACTCCTGTCCCCGAGGAGCAGCCCCTGGGCTGATAATCAGGCCTTCCAGAACCTGGGGCGATGGAAACGTCTACAAATATCCCATTAAGAAAGACCACCAGCCCTGCTGAGCAGAATGAAGCGGAGGCCGGGTTGCTGCGGTCTCTACTCTGAGGCTTGGCATCGAGCTGCCTCTGAAAAGCACTCAGCACATGAAGGAATGAATGAGGAACAGAGAACTTCACCTTTGGGGGCTGGGTGTAAAAGCCTCAGCTGGGCTTCAAGTCCCATAAATAGCTTTGGATTCCAACAGACAGCTGATGCTGCGAGGTGCTGCTGACTTGCTGTGACCTGGAGCAGGCCATGTAGCCTCTCTGGGCCTGCTGTCTTCATCTGCAAAATGGAGATGATAATATCTACTTCACAAAGGGGTGGAGGCCCAGTGAGACACCGCACATGGATTTCCTTGACACTGTTTCCCCATCGTAACTGCTCCAGAGAGGCGGGGCTCCCTCTTCTCACAACACTGCGGTTTATTTCAGGAGATACACTGAAAGGCAAGCAAGATAAAACAAGCAACAGCCGAAGCACGGATCCAGGGACAACTGCCCGGCGGGACAGCGAGCAAGAGTCCTGGCATCTGTGCTGCTGCTCTTTGTTGGGGGATATTGGGGGAAGGGGCTGGAATCATCCCAGGGTGTCTAGGCTCTGGAAGGGAGCACCCCGTATCCTCCTTTGGGTGTGGAATCAGGTGAGTGTCTTGGGGGTGGAGGGAGAACAGGCAGAGTGTGCCCTCCCCGCCTTTGCTCCGCAGTGATCTTAATGATTAAGGCTACTGTTCAGTCTGCATTTGGATCTGAGCAACAGGGACCCCTGCCCAGAGGGCCGTCCTTCAGCAGGCTGCACCCCGGCCGCCTCCACTGCAGCCCTCTCTGTGACATGAAGCATCTGCCGCTGACTGTAGCTATGAGGGCCACTGACCCTGCAATATGACCGACTAGGTTCAAATATTGACTCTGACACTTAGAAGCTGTGCCACCTTGGGGCAAGTTACTTCATCTCTCTGTGCCTCACTTTCTTCCTTTATAAAATGGGTAAAACAGTAATCACACAATCGGTTATCTATGACGATTAAACGAGTTAATAATATATGCAAAGCACTTAGCATGGCTACTGGCTCATGGGTCAGGAAATGTTAGCTGTTGCACACGTGGTGTGTTTGATTCTTGCAATGCCCCTATAGGTAGGTTCTGTTGTTAGCTCTGTTTTACGTATGAGAAAACTTAGGCATAGGAAATAAAGTAACATTTGCAAGGTCACACTGATAAGTAGCAAGGTGGAGGCTTTACTCCAATTCTTTTTTTTTTTTTTTTTTTTTTGGAGACATCTGTCGCCCAGGCTGGAGTGCAGTGGTGAAATCTTGGCTCACTGCAACCTCTGCCTCCTGGGTTCAAGCAATTCTGCCTCAGCCTCCCGAGTAGCTGGGATTACAGAGGTGCACCACCATGCCCAGCTAATTTTTGTATTTTACTAGTAGAGACGGGGTTTCACCATGTTGGCCAGGCTGGTCTCAAACTCCCGACTTCAGGCGATCCACCTGCCTTGACCTCCCAAAGTGTTGGGATTATAGGCGTGAGCCACTGCGCCCGGCCTTCAGTTCTTTCTGACTCTGGCGTGTGTGTGGCTTCACCCCCTACCCCAGTTGCATTTTTTTTCTCTCCTAGGAGTCCTCTACCTTCAACCCCACCCCCACCCCACTTCCACCCTCCCCCCATCCCACCCCTACCCCAGTGATGCTCAGCCTCTTCCTGTCGTACAGGATCTCACCACCTGCAACTTCCAGCTGGATTTGCCGTTTCAGATCAAGTTCTTGACTCTTGAGTAACGTTTCCCCACAAAAGCTGAGCTTGCAGGTGACTTCGGACAAGCAGTTGTTCCCGTCTGACAATAACCCGAGTTCATTCATGAGAAGGTCCCGAGTGATCCAGGACTGTTTGTATTTTAACCCAAAGAAAGGAGTCTTTTGGGATAATTTGAGGCACAAAGAGCAGTCTGTCAAGGGAGACATTTTTCATTTGCTGCTTTAGTTGGGGAGGTAATCCTTTGCTTCACTCCTGAAATCCCACCCCTCTGGGAGTGACTTCCTCCCCTCCCACTGTCGAAAGCTGACCAGATGGGAGGAGGCCATGTGGCGCAAGGGTTCTCAAACTCAGCTTAATTATGGCCTGAGGAACTTAAAAAATGCATGTTCCCAGGTCCTGGCTTACGGTCTTTGAACTACATTTTGTTTTTTGAGACAGAGTCTCACTCTGTCACTCAGGCTGGCATGCAGTGGTGTGATCTTAGCTCACTGCAACCTCCGCCTCCCAGCTTCAAGCGACGCTTGTGCCTCAGCCTCTCAAATAGCTGGGGCTACAGGTGTGCACTGCCACGCCTGGCTAATTTTTGTATTTTTAGCAGAGATGGGGTTTCGTCATGTTGGCCAGGCTGTTCTTGAACTCCTGGACTCAAGTGATCTGCTGGCCTCGGCCTCCCAAAGTGTTGGGATTGCAGATGTGAGCTACCATGCCTGGCTGGAACTATATTTTGAGGAATGCTGGTTTTGTGGCAAGACACCTAGGTTCAAGTACTTTAATTAGCTGTGTGACCTTGACTGTGACCCTCTGAGCGGCAATGCCCTCAGCTTTAAAACAGGAATTAAGCCTATTTCCTCCACCTCATGGGGGATCATCAGCAAATGTGCTTCATGCCTGTGAAATGCCTCAGCATGTGGAAGAGTCCCTTTTTTTTTTTTCTTTTTTTGAGACGGAGTCTTGCTCTGTCGCCAGGCTGGAGTGCAATGGCACGATCTCAGCTCACTGCAACCTCCACTTCCCGGGCTCAAGCGATTCTTCTGCCTCAGCCTCCTGAGTCTCTGGGATTACAGGCAGTGCCACCACGCCCAGCTAATTGTGTATTTTTAGTAGAGACGGGGTTTCTCCATGTTGGTCAGGCTGGTCTCAAACTCCTGACCTCAGGTGATCTGCCCACCTCGGCCTCCCAAAGTGCTGTGATTACAGGCTTGAGCCACTGCCCCTGGCAGAAGAGTGCCATTTTTATACTAGAGCCCAAACACGTGTTGTAGAGAAATACAAAGGAAGGCACAGACCTGGGCCCAATCTCAGAGAGAAATTCCTTAAATCTTTGGGGCTGGACGTAAACTCATCAGCACTATTTTGGGTGAAGGCTGCTGGCCAGAGTGGAAGGAAGTATTTTCTATCTCCTGCATGCTGGTGCCTCCCCGTGAACAGCCTGACAAAGTCTACAGAGTGTGTCAGGAGCTTGAATCAGTCAGGTGTGCCAGGCAATGCTGCAGTAACGAACGGCCCCTGGGCCTCAGTGGCTGAACCCAACAAAAGCTTATTTCTTGCTCACGTTGTCTATTCCAGCAGGTCGGCAGGCAGTTCTCTTCCACAGACTCACTCAGGGACCCAGGCTGACAGCAGTTCCATCAGCTGTAGCGGCACCATCTGAAACACGTGGGCACCATCAGGAATACACGGCCTCCGTGGCTACAGCAGCTGGGAAACAGACCCTGGAGAAGGGCGCACGGGCTTTTTACTGCCTCAGCCTGGAAATGACAAGCATCGCTTCTGCTCAATTTCATCCACCAAAGCTAGCCATATGGCACCGCTGGGAAATGCAGGGGAGCCAACGGCCTATGTAGTGAGCATTATTGTTTCTGCCATAGAGGACTTCCAAGAGTAGAGAGATGTGAGAGCTCGTGGTTTAGATTTCCAGTTTGGGCACAAAGACATGTGTCTCCTAGAGAGAAAGGGATGGGAGACGCCTCTGTGGGATGGCTCCTGTTCCCTACATCCCAGAGAGGCCCAGCTTTCGTGTCCAGTAGGGTGCAGTTTTGTTTGGGAAGATGTGTTTTTTTGTTTGTTCGTTTGTTTGTTTTTCCTTTTTCTCATTCTTGCTTACCCTCAAAACATGGGAAGAGAAGCTGTCTGACTCAAACTGCCGCAGTCTGGTCCGGGCCCCCTAAGATGGAGAGGTGCCATTTCCCAGCAGGCCAAGAAATGCCTGGGAACTCCAAGGGTTCTGTGGGTCCTGGGAGGAGAGGCTGACACAGCCAAGAAGACCCAGGGTCAGGCTAAGTGGAGGCTGAGGTGGCATGCCCGGCCGCCCGCACTGCCATATGTCCTGGCGCTCTGCGGAGCACAGCTGAAAACTACCCAAATATCTTTGGAAATGAAGAACACTGGATTGGCACCTGGCAATTTGGGACAGTAGTTTTTCTGGAGCGCACAGCTTGGGAATTTGCCTGAAGAAATCTTTCATTCCTAGAGCGTTGGTGGATAAATGGCACTTACTTGTTTAACCTCAAATCAAGCTGCAGCCCCCATTTCTGGGGCTGCTTTGAGAGGGTTGCTTTAAAATAGCTGAACAAGCTGAAAATCATGGGTCTAGGTTGCTGGAATGGCTTTGCAGAGAGAGCAGCCAGGCTGAGTGCTTTATTTTCCATAGAACGTGACTGACAGTGTTTGGGGGTTGGGGTTGGGGGTAGGGGGAGGGAGGTGGACTGTCAGAGAGGAGCAAAGCCTGGGTCCTTCTTCTGGAAGGGTCGATATTGGCTGACCGGTCTCTGTAGTGGATTCAATCTGGCGTGGTACCCTTGGGGGTTTGGGGTGGGATGATACCCTGGGGGAATCCTTTCTGAGGTCCGCTGCAGGCAGCTTTGAATTCAACAGTCAAGTTCCTCTGTTATTCCTGTCTGCTCAGGGTCCATTTCCTCTTTTATTAACAGAACAGCTCTTTCCTCAGGAGAATCTGTTTCATGGATTTGGGTAGGACTGACTCAGTGGTGCACAAAAGTGTTTAATGGCCAGTTGGGGCAGGGGGAGGGAGCAGGGAGGAAAGCTTTGATTTGTTTAGTTTGCCAATATCCATGGTGTAAACACTCCCCCACTACCACCTTCAAGCTGTAAAGATAACATCACTGAGACGTCACTGACCGTGGACCTGGAAGAGATGCGCACACCCAGCTCTCACAAACACATCCCTGGTGCCAATTCTACCCCAGCCAGGGATGGGCACAGGACCCAGAGGCACCCTATTGGAATTCTTCAGGGCCATGGGAGGAGACTGCTCCTTTTCTTAGGCATCTCTAAATAGAATGTTAGTCGGGGCCACCAGCAGCCATCTTGCCAGCTCTATAGAGAGAATTTGGTTGAGAGAGGGGGAGAAAGGGCACCCATGACGTCCTCTGAACCCTGAAGCCAGCCATACCTGAAGCTGGTGTATTCCTGGACTTTCCAATTACACAAATCAGTATCCCCTCTTTTTTGCCTAGGTAGTGTGAGTTGAGTTCCTGCCACCTGCCAATAAAAATGTCATGAATAAAACAAGCAGGTCACCCAGTCACGGGAAGCCCATAAAATAGATCTGGCTTTATCTTGATTGCGGTGGTTTCCCAGGCATATACAACCATAACATTCACCGAGTTGTACACTTTTCATTACTGAAGCTTATCGTAGGTAAATTCTATCTCAATAAAGCTGTTAAAAGTATAAAAAATGTATCTGGGGTGTGTGCATTGGGGAGTGTGTAGATTTTTCTATATTGATTCTGCCAAGCAGAGGCCCAGGTAGGAAAAGAAAATGAAAATAGAAGAACTGTTGTACCAGCAACATCAACCAATATCTGCTTTGAGCTGTGCTGAGATTTTTTTTTGAGACGGAGTTTCACTCTTGTTGCCCAGGCTGGAGTGCAATGGTGCGATCTCGGCTCACCACAACCTCCGCTTCCCAGGTTCAAGTGATTTTCCTGCCTCAGCCTCCTGAGTAGCTGGGATTACAGGTGCCTGCCACCATGCCCGGCTAGTTTTTTGTATTTTTTGTAGAGACAGGGTTTCTCCATGTTGGTCAGGCTGGTCTTGAACTTCTGATCTCAGGTGATCTGCCCGCCTTGGCCTCCCAAAGTGCTGGGATTACAGGTGTGAGCCACCGTGCCCAGCCTATACTGAGATTTTTATCCACTTACATACTTAGCACCTGGGACTTCTTAGAGAAGAAGCAGATGAAGGAAGGAAGGTAACACCTTGCCTGGGAGTGGGAGAAGCAGAATCCTCCCAAGGTGAGACCGGGTGGCGTCTCCCCCTGTAAGCCTTGGAAACCAGCAGGAGTTACCGTTATCCTTCATCCAGTGAAATCAGCCTCTCAGAGC